AAAAAAAAAAGCCAGGAAAAATGAATTTTAAGGTTTTCCCCACAAATAAATGATAGACATTTGAGGACATATAGTTGCTTATCCTAATTTGAATGTTACATAAGTGTATAAGGGTATCAAACATAACATGGTACTCCATAAATATGCAAATTTTGTGTCAACTTTTAAAAAAGGAATAAAAGAGGCATTTTGTGTGTTTCTACCTCCCAGGCTCTTGGAAGACTTGTAACCATCACTTAAAATATAACCCTCAGCATCCTCATGTATAGAGTGAGGGTGTCTATATAGGATTTAAAATTTCTGCTTTCTCTTGTTCTCCTCATTCTTCCTGTTATCACCAAGGAGAAAATACCCTTCTTTCCCAAGACTAATATTTCCATCTTTGTTTTTAAGTCTATTCAATTCCCACCTGTTCCCACCTGACTCTGTATTCTGACAAATATGCTTTCTTCTGTTTTTTTCTTCTTCCTTCAAAACTTTATGTATCTATTTTTAGTTTCCTTCCCCTAATGTAAACCCAAACTGGCCTCCCACCCTTGTTCTAAAAGAACACTTTGCCTTTGGCCATACTCTGCATGTTCTGTTCTTTGTCAAACTTGAAAGAGTCACGTAACTTGTTGGCTTCTCCTCTCCACTACATACTTCTTCTTCAGCTCATCTGAATTGTACACCCACTGCCTTTTATTCCACTGAACCTGCTCACACTGCGGAGGACAACAGAGAGAACTGGAAGTTTTTTCTTAGCCATCAACCTCCATGACTTTCCTCTATCACCATAATAGCCCCAATTCTTTCTCCATTTTGAAAATGATCTTCCCTTTCTGCTTTCAAATCACCGCATGCTCCTAAGTTTCCTCCTACCTGTTTAACTTTTCTCACCTTCTTTCTTATCAATGTTTTTTCCTAAGAGTCTGACTGGAGTGTTTTAACTCACCCACCCCCATGTGACCATTTTAAGAATTTCATGTTTGTTTTTATAATAAGATTTCAAGGGAAGGCCTGGGAAGCCAGGCAAAATGTAGCAAGGTTGAAATCCCCACAGGCTGCCCAGAGGGTGATTCATGAAGCTGTAAGAAGGAAGCCAAAGCTGCAGTGGAGACATCCTGGACTAAGAAATGCTAGTAACATGGTATGTCTGCTGAGGAAAACAGCTGGCTACAGACAGAACCAGTCTAAGAGAGAGGCTATGTTGGCTATAAGCTACAAGGCCTTTAGGTGAAGGCTGTCCAATTCCTTTGGAAATTGTATCTCAAGGCCACGTGCCACACACACATACTAGACCTGGAGCTCTAAGACTTGTTTGACCATCTGGGTTCTAGTTTTGATTTCTATGCCCCTATTTCTCCCTTTTGGAATGGATGTGTTTATTCTGTGCCATTTTGGTTTTGGATGTATGTAACTTGTTTTATTTTTATGTAACTTTTTATTTTGACAGAGGCTTACAATGAAGAGTTTACCTGGAGTCTCAGATGAAACTTTGGACTTGAGCTTTTGGACAATGCAGRAACTGTTAAGACTACAAGGATTCTTGGAGATGGAATAAGTGCATTTTTCATCATGAGATGGATATGAGTTTTTGGTATCAGGGGTGGAATGTTATGTTTTGAATATGATATGACCCCCCCCCCAAAATTTGTGTGTGAGACAAGCAGTGAAGGTGTCTATATAGGATTTAAAATTTCTGCTTTCTCTTGTTCAGAGGTGAGATGATCAGATTATGAAAGCTGTTATCTACCTGATGGATTAATCCATTTGCTGGATTAATCCATTTGCTGGATTAATAATTGAGAGGAACACTTTACTCTGTGCCAACTATAAACAGTTAAGTTGTGGCTAAAGGAAGTAGGTCACTGGGGGCATGCCTTTGAGGTTTCTGTTTTGTCCCTGGTGCCTAACTTGCTCTCTCTGCTTGCTAGCTGCCTTGAGCTGAGCATCTTTCCTTCACCACACCTTTCTGCCATGATGTTCTGCCTCATCTCAGGCCCAGAATAATGTTGGCTGACCATGAACTAAGCTTTTGAAACCATGACCATAAAATAAACTTTTCTTCCTCTAAGTTGTTCTCATCAGATACTTAAATTACATTGCTGAAAAAGCTGACTACCATACCCCCAATTTATAACTAACTCAAGTAATGAGATTACAAATGTCTGCTAAAAATCTCCTTGTGGATATGCCATGTCAGTGTGTCCAGATTAAATTTACTAATTTCTCCCGTGAGACTGACTGTCCCCATTTTTCTCCAGAAGTTTATGTGACTTCTCTAGAAGTTCTCTATCTGGCAGTCATATAAACAAACATCTAGCCCTCCCTTCCTCTAAAGGACTCACACTTATTGACTAATGACCTTGTGATTATGCAGTGTCTTGAATCTAAATCTTCCTGTCACTTCACAAGTAGCCTTTCATCATTTGTCAGTACTTTGGTAATAGACTCCTAATTGGTTTCCTGTCTCCAGACTCCTGGAATACCAATCAATCTGAATACTGCTACATCAAACTGTGTAAAACATACACAGACTATTCACCCTTTACAAAAAAAAAAAAAAAAAAAAAAAACCTGTTTCAGGTGTTTGGTACTTTGATTTTATGAATTATTTGCTCTCATTTTCTTTATGAATGTTCATCACTTAAAATTATTACAAACTGTCTTAAGATTGTTACAAACTGTGTGGACAGATTTTTTTTTCTAGTGATCAAAGATATTGTACATAACTGCAGTCTTCTTTTATGACCCATCTTTAGGTATCTTAGGGGAAAAATAACTTTTTAAGGAGGCAGTTTTGGAAGTCTGACTGACCTTGATTTGGTCCTCAAACTGCTAAGCTGAATTTCAATGTTCTCAACACTAGTAATAATAATAACCAACATTTGTTGAGCACATGTACACACTCTGTGCCAGCACTGCTTGAAGTGCTATTGATTTTGAATAAAACTCAATGCAGGGGGTGGTGGTGGTGGGGCGGGGAGAGAGAGAGAGAAGAGAGAAGAGAGAAGAGAGAAGAGAGAGAGAGAGAGAGAGAGAGAGAGAGAGAGAGAGAGAGAGAGAGAGATATCAAACTGTTTTCCTGCTATTTCTGAAAAGATAGTGAATTCAGAGAGTTTACATAATTTGTCCAAAGTTACCTAGCTGGTGAGTGGAAGAGCTGGGATTTGAACCCAGTCATTTTAAACCCAGAGCCTAAGATTTTAATCACCCTTATACATCTCTTTCATAAAAAAATGTGTATTTTGCACATCTGTACAAAATGATAATTGGTTTTGCTCGAAAAGATGGCAAGCAGTGTCAAAAGGAAAAGGTGACATTATCAGAGTGCATTTGTAAATAAAGGCAATTTTTCTCCAGCTCCAAACACCTGAACAAATAATATAATTTTGAGGATAGTTTTAAGTTTCTATAGCATTTCCAACAAAATTGAGTACACATTGTCCCATTGTAACTTTGGGATTTCGTTGTATTGTGTAAGGTCAGCATTTAAGAAAACGTTCATTAAATACCAAGTTTGTTTAATCATATCAATTGCATTTTTCACATATGGTTATTCTCACTTCCCATTTATACTGGTATTTTCTACCAAAAGGGGATACTTTGATTTTTCTCCTAAATCTTTGAGCTTTTTCCTAGTTATTATTCTCACATAATTCCTAAGGTAAAGACAACATTTTGAAGAAAAAGCACTAAATTTCACAATATATTTTAAATATTTTCTAAATTTAAAGGAAATTTTTCTCAATTTTCTATGATTAGGCGAATTACAACAGACAATTAGGAAAAATAGTTAGCAAAACATTTTGCTCAAAATACTGCAATGCTCTTAATCTTTTACTACAAATGGATTAATGCATTCAAAGAGTTAAGAGAAAAATCAGATGACAGAAAAAAGTTGGTTGAATCATTGTGCAGAAATAGTCTAAATCAGCAGTTCTCTAACTCCAACAAGGATAAAACAATTAGAATTTGGTCTAAATGTTAGAAAATGGACTTTGCAGAGAGGGTCAAGATGTTAAATCTCTTTACTTGGGGAATTCATGATCAAGGATATCAGTTTAGCACTCAGAAAGGGATCAGGTCCACCTCCTGTCTAGGGTATATATTGAATATGTCTTCTCTGATACTGTGAATTTCATGTTTTCCACTTAAACCAAATGCTTTTCAAAGACTCCTTCCTAATGTGGTTGAATGGTCATAAAACAATTAGTATACATGGAGATATGGACAATACCTCTGTTCTTTGTATATAATCTTTCATAGAATGCAGATTGGCATTCTTTGAGTCTTGCCTTTTTGGAGAAAATACGTATGCACAACATATTGCAAATAATTTCAGAGAGTTTGTAGAGTCTGTTGGCTCTGTTTCCTAGAGTATAGCTTTCTTGGTTCTGAATCTTCAATCTTTTTCTGTGAAAAGACTAAATCCTGTTTCTGGACTTCCTCAGTGCTGTTAACCTTCTTAGAACTTTGACAATTGTATGTCCTCTTAGTACTTAAAATAAAAAACCTTGGCGGTATTATCAATTTGGGCTCCTTTATAAAACATGGGCTTCCAAACTATTGTCTTACTGCCCAATCTTTTAAATATTTTATTTCAAAAGCCAGGCCTTTTGTAATCATTACCTCTGTTCACCATTCATCACTTAAGTTCAGTCCCCAGAGCCTACATAAATTGTCCCATGCAAATGATTCTTTTTCACTTTTGCTAATTACCATTTGCAGAATTATTTGCCATGAAAAAATGTACCCACCAGAGCGGTCAGCCAAGAGTTATTTTTTCTCAGCTGACCTGAGGAATCTGCAGGCATAATTTAATTCACCAGATCCTGCATATTTAACTGTCAATCCAGAGGGAGATCTCTAGACCTATGACTGTCCTAATAGGAAAAAAAGGCAAGTTAATTCAGCTTAGCATCTCTGTCCATGGATTCTCTGAACCAGGTGAGAATAGGTTTTATAGTCTATGTGCTGTCTATTTGTTAAATTACCAATTTAACAATTTTACTTACGTGTTGAAATGCTCAGTGAAGATCAAGTTTGTGGAGGTACCAGTAGTTGTTGTCAATCCACCAATGGTAGAAGAGTAAGCAATAGACAAACACATAAGTTTACACATCATGTGATCCTTCTTTGACCGATATTTTGTTCCTGTGACTGAGTTCTGTTCAAATAGAAAATGTACTATGAGAACAGCTCCCTTTGAGGTCATAACAAGAAGTAATAACATTTTTTTAAATGAAATGACTGTGTCTTGATCCCGTTTAATTAATATCTTTGATGTCATTTGGACATGGGACCTGTTGAGAATAATTATAGTTAGATGAGGTCAAGAGGATGGCCCTGGCCTGGTCCTTTTAAGAGGCAGCAGAAATTCTCTCTCTCTCTCTCTCTCTCTCTCTCTCTCTCTCTCTCTCTCTCTCTCTCTCTCCTCTCCCCCCCCCCCATGTAAAGATACAGTGAGAAGTTGGCCTTCTGCAACTCCAGGAATGAGAGCTCACCAGACACTAACCTTGCCAGATCTTTATTTTGTATTCCCAATTTCTAGTACTGTGAGAAATATTTTTTTGCTCATTAAGCCACCCAATCTTTGATATTTTGTTATGACAGCTTGAACGAATAATGTATATATCTTTCCATCCATAAAAATGTAAAAATAAAAAGTATTTAAAGTGACACCTGACACCGAAAATATTTGACATACATAACTGTATTCCCTAATCCTTCATTTTTATATCTGAATCAAATGATCCTTCATCTCTTTCCTTTTAACCATGAATTTTCACCACTTTTCTGCTATTATGGGTCAGTAAGTTTCTCATGGTCAGCAAAATTCTCAAACTCTTTTTTGGGAGTTCCCCCACCTTGGTGCTTTACTGGCTGATCTCCAAAAGATACCACTATCACTCCAGAAACTGAATACTTTTGATGTCATGTCTTCTTTGCATCCCATTATTTCTTTCTATCCTATATCACACAAAAATGAAATTCCTTTTCTTTAAGGATCATGTAATTTGGATATCTCTTTCCTCATTTATTTGACTACAATATTCTGATCTTTTAGGCACTGGGAGCTATCTTACATTACATTTTCACCTAACACCATAATTATCTTCCCTACTTTATATCCCATCAGCATCTGGATGACTATCACTTTCATGAATAACCCTTAAAATATCCTAGCTTCACAGATTTTTCATCTCATTTTTCAAAGACCTACAATTCTGCTTTGTCTCAGTTACCCTTTCCTATAGTTACACCTTGGATAGTGCATGTCTTCAACTGGTTCCACCAGGAAATCCTTACTACACATTTAAGTGTGTTGTTTAGGACTCCCTTGGGTGCAAGCCATACCAACTTCATTTTTGTTCTCACCCATGGCCTACTGTGTTGCTTTGATTCTTGTGGCCTATTTCAACATAGGTTGAAATGTAGGGAAAAATCAATAACTCTTCTGGTTTTTTCATTCAGCAATTTTTCAGTCAATTTAGTCAAAAAAGCAGCATCATTTCAGTAGTTTAGATGAACAAAGCCTCATTTAAAAACAAAATCCCCCCAAACTAATCTAAGATTTCATCTCATGCCAGTCAAAATGGAAGTTATCAAAAATACAAACAACAATAAGTGTTGGCAAGGATGTGGGGGAAAAGGCACATTCATACATTGCTGGTGGGACTGCAAATTGGTGCAACCAATCTGGAAAGCAGTATGGAGACTCCTTAGAAAATTTGGAATGGAATCACCATTTGACCCAGCTATCCCACTCCGGGGTCTATATCCAAAGGACTTAAAATAAGCATACTATAAGTAACACAGCCACATCAATGCTTACAGCAGCTTAATTCCATTGACCCCTTTTGAGTCTAAGGGGCAGACATCAACCTGGAAACAACCTAGATGCTCTTCAATAGATGAATGGATAGAGAAACTGTGGTACATATACACAATGAAATACTACTCAGCATTAAAAGAGAATAAAATTATGTCATTTGCACATAAATGGATGGAGTTGGAGAATACCTTGCTAAGCAAAGTAACCCAATCCCAAAAAACCAAAGGCCAAATGTTCACTCTGAAAAGTGGATGCCGATCCATAATGGGGATGTCATGGGAAAAATGGAGAAACTGTGATTAGGCAAAGGGGGAGGAGGAGAGGGAGCATGGGGGCCAGAAAGATGGTGAAGTGTGATGGACATCATTACCCTATGTACCTGTATGACTGCCCATAATGTACACATGGTGTACAACGCTACATCATGTACAACTAGAGAAATGAAACGTTGTGCTGCAATGTGTACAATGAATCAAAATGCATTATGCTGTCATATATGCCCAATTAGAATAAACAAATTTTTAAAACATTAAAAATAAATAAATAAAAACAAAAGCCCCAATTTAGGTAAACCTTCTCTCCTACCCTGAGTCAACCCTAAATGAAAGCTCACAGATAAAAGAAAGCCGGGGAGCTGGGTTTTTGGTGTCTTTCTTCTGACTTCCACCACTTGCTGGATTCAATTCTAAATCTTCTGCATTTAGAGTGGCAGGGATAGGCAGGATGAGGAGAGGGAGATACTTTAAGGTCTTATTTGAGTGGTATATGAGTTAAGATATAGCTTTAGTCTTTAGAGCTCTCCAGGCTTGGGGGATGTTCAAAATGACTCCATCTCATAAGCACTGTTACAAGTTTTTGAGAGGCTCTTATCACCAGATGTAACTGGTGCTGGGATGTGACTTGTGGGAGAGTGCTTGCCTTGCCTGCATGAAGTCCACTGCCACCCCTCAACACACACACACAGGAAAAAAAGAAAAAGAAAGAATATCAAATTGTTCCTTTTTCTTTGTCGCTAATGGATCTCTTTTTATCCTGTCGCCAAACCCTTTTGGAAGAATTTGCCTTTCAAATGACACCAAATACCATTTTTCCTCCAAGTTTCTTATAATTGGTCCAGGAGAAACTGGCATATCTGTTCTGTTGTCAGTGATAATATAGCTAAAACTCCACTAAGTAAGGAGAGTCAACCATGACCTTTTATTTTCAAATTTTCCAAGAGTGTATTAAACACAAATCCATTGACCCCTTCTGAGTCTAAGGGGCAGACATCAAGTTCTCAAGGAGGTGTTTTCTCAGAATCTATCTCACCAGGCTAAGTGTGAGATTCTTCCCTTTCCTCTTTCTTGATGGTATGGAGGTCAAAGATAGGGAAGTACTCCAAATTTCTCCATCAATAGCCTTCTTCATTTTTAACTCTCAGGTTAAGAGTATAAAACTTTTTTTTAATTTTTCTTTTTGTTTTCTTGTTCTCAAGTCTTATGTATTTGGAATGTTGGAACATAATGTGCATGGTTGATATTGTAATGACTCATTTAACTACTCCATTCACTAAGAAATCAGCTGATTTACCAAAGCTTCTTCTTTTTTCCTCGTATTGAATTAATAACATGCTTACAGTTCTCCAACACCACTGGCAAATTTAGTCACGGAAGCATCTAGTTATTCCCACCCAGTGGATTGGTTTGCTCCTTTTTAAACTTCCCTCCATACTCAGCTTAGATTCCATGGTAAGCCAGTTAAGTAACCTTCTTTTAAAAATTCTAAACTTTGCTTTAACTTCCTTTGAACAGAAGTTATTTATCAAAACTCCAACTTTTGTTCTCTCTACATCATGTCTTCCACTGAAGAGCTAACCATTGATGGTGAAAATTGTTCATACAGTACAGCAGACTGCATTTCCTATATTCATGATCATACATGACTACTGCTATATCACACTGACCCTCATCTACTGTGTTTCTCTAAGTTACTTGTCTCCACCAGGAAATTTAAAAACTCCTCTGTTCTCTTATCAATTTTCTTAATGCTCTTTCTTACTCTTCCCAGGTAGCTTTGCCACCTACTTTCACAGAGTAAACAGAAACCAGCAGACAATGGTATTGCCTAGAAATGTAGAGAACTACCTGCTTCTGCCTCACCTCTCCTCCTTCTCTACAAACATACTGGTGTCAATGTCTCTCCTCCAAACCATCTCTTGGGTCATCTTAGAAACCTTCCTCTATAGACTATTGGAATTTTTATCAACATTTAATAATTTTCAAGACATCTTTACAAAAGAGCATAAAAGAAGTCCTTCTTAACTTATTCTCAATTAAATACTGCCCTACCTCATCTCCATTTTCACAGCCAAATCACTAAGGTTCACATTCATTGACTTCATTTCTTTAACCTCTTCAATCTGTCTCTCCATTCCACCCAAAATATGCTTCCTATGATCATCAGTAAGCTCAACATTGCTAAACTCCATAGGTACTTTTCAGGATCATCTTTGCAGATCTCTCAACAGCTTCTTCCTACTGAAATCTTTGGGTTTCTGTGAAATCTCACTCTACTGGTTTTTGTTCTGGATCTCTGATTATTACTTTGTCTCCTTTGACAATTCCTTTTTCTTTATCCTTCCTTAAAACTGTTTTCAGAAACCTGTTATAGTCATTTGTCTTTCTCACTTTAGTATTTTTACTTTAAAAATCATATTTTCATTGATTTAGTGATATACTAGACCATCAAACTCTGTCTTTAGCCCAGACTCCTTCTAGACCCGTATATCCAATTGACTGTTCAACATAATTTGAATGTCTTTATTGAAACTCCAATTCAAAAGTGTTCAAAACCAAACTCATGAATTCCTTCCTCAAACTCAGTTCTTTGAATTTAGCCAATGGTATCACCATCACCATAGTAACAAGCATTTACACTGTTCTTAGCATGCTATAAACACTGGTCTATATTAAAATCAGATAAACATTTCAATTCTTACAACACACTGAAGTGGGTAATATCAGTACACCACGTTACAAATGACAAGAGGCAGAGAGAAGTTGAATTAATTGCCCAGGGTCACAGTGCCTAAAATGACAGGCTTGGACCTGGAAACCATGTAGTCTTGCTTTGGAGTCCATACTTTCAGTCACTTTGCTGCATTTCTTGTTCTCCTTAAAAACATTCACTTCCTCATCTCACTAGTTTCTGTCAATTTTATCTGCATAAATGTGTAGGGAGTCTGTCTAGTTTTCTCTATTTCTACTGCTACCTGACCTAGGTTACTCAAGTAAGGTCTTTATGAGACTTCTTGCATGAATCTTTACCTATTTCAGACCTGCTGCACATACTGC